GGGGTTGGGGAAGGGTGGGGGTTCTGCTAGCCTCAGGGCTAATGGACACTCCTTACATGCAGAAACAAACTGTTCCCCTCCTAAACACTCCCCTCAGGGKTTTTTTTTTGTGCCTAAATTTTATCCAGAGCATATCAAGTTATAGCCTTTTGGTCAAACTTGGAGCATAATGTTATGCAGTTCTAGGCAATTTCATGAAAAGTCATGCTCACAGTTTGTGTTGTGAATGACTCTCAGCTTCTACCACATTAAGTTTTAGATCAACATGTAAAATTAAATTAATTGTGTTAAACAATATGATTTAGCTGTGGTGGCCATCTTGAATTGGGTCAAATCCRAAACGTAACCAGTTGTAGATWTACATCCAATGATCACTTTCTAAAAGTTTCATTACAACTGTCCTGCTTTTCATGAGATATTTTGCTAACAGAAAACAACTTGTTTCTAATGGTACTACAACTCTAAGCAAATACTTGACACAATAAAGTGCACTTGATACTTGTGTTGTGAATGACTCTCAGCTAATAACGCACTAAAATGTTGCACAATAGCTGTAAAAATCACTGAATCATATTTACATAAATAGGTTAAAACATTACTTTTGTATTTTCTCTGATTCAGTGGCTGTGGCAGCCATCTTGAATTGTGTTAGCTCTAATAATTAATAACTTGTACATCCCATGATTAGTTTCTAAAAGGTTCACCATTATCTATAAAGTGGTTTTTGACATGTTTTGCTAAAAGACAGACATTTAGTACAGTTGTTATTAGCGCTCAGATTATGTGTTGAGACAAAGTCTCAGCTACCACGCCAACCTCTAGGTCATTATGTGTAGTTGGCTGTGGCGACCATCTTTAATGRGTAAATTATTTGTAGATGTACTGCAAGTTATATTTTAAAAAATGTAATTTTCTTTGTTTTTATGTACCTGGTAGCTCTTCATGTTTTCAATGATAAAAATGTAAATGCTTTTACATCAGGATAAAGTTTCTGTCAGCAGATCTGAGCACATCTCCACTYCCAGCTCTTTTTGTAGGCAGTTGTTTTTATTCTGTGTTGTCAAATTAAAAACAGTATTCCAACAGAWTACATTGACTTCCTGTCACTTAAACTTAACTGCAACCTCTATAATATTTTAGTACATTCTGTATCAAGTTTTGAAACCGAAAGCTAAAAGTTGGTCCATGACGTTAAAGGCTATGTCAAGATCCAAAGCTCAGCTGAGGTACACAGGACACCCCATTCAATTAATTCTTGCAATCAGTTAATAATGGACATCCTTCAATTTACAGAACCGCTTAAAGAACAAGGTTGCCAATCGGGATCCTACATTTCCCACAATGCCTTTTGCTGGTTGAAGTTTAAAATGATCCAACTCTCTAAAAGGTCAGTGTTCTTTGTGCAGATGTCTGTTTACAGAAAGGTCCACGTTCTAAAAAAATGTTTTAAACATCACAATAATTTTTTTACAGTTCATCTTGTTCTCATAAAAACTGTGACGTGCACACAAAACTTAAAATGCATTGGTTGTGCTTATAAATATTAAATCTTTATGGTTTTGTTCACACTTAAGCTGCCATGTTAAAAGAAATCATGCTGACGCTCTTTCATCAAGTCCTCAGAGCAAAATTAAAAACTTAAGAACTGTAGAAGAGTGTGTTTCTTTTTTTAAAAAAAAGTACTAACTCCTGTTGTTATGAGGATTTAATGATATTAATTACCATGTAATATCATAAATCTTAATATTTATAATAAAACTTGTAATGGTCTTTATACTGTAGCAAAGAAAGTAAAACATTAACAGTTTGAGGTGTAAAGTCAGGTGAGAGCATTCATTTCATTTCATCAATGGGTGAAGTCATTATGTATTGATTTATGTGTTTCAGTCTTTCACAACCTGCACAAGATGAAGCAGATTAAGAAATAAATAAACTGGGTATGAATGAATGAATGAATGAATGAATGAATGAATGAATGAATGAATGAATGAATGAATGAATGAATGAATGAATTTTTATTGAATTTGAAAAAATTCCAATGAGATTGACAAAATAAAAAACAACACAAAATACATTGCTCTTAATAATTCACAATAATACTAATTTCTCAGTTTCCATCTCATCACCAGGACCACTGTAAGAAAAATATTTTAAACCGGATGCCCAAATAATACGCAGAAAACCGAATCCAGTTCTCAGTTTAACATTTATTTTCAGATCTACACAGATATGCATTGCACAGTGTGTGCAGCCCTGGAAACCTAAAACAAAAATGGCTTCAAGCTCCATGTCATTATCAACCCATATTATTTATAGAAAACCAGGCCCCACCCCTAGGGGCGGTTCCTGTTACGTCAGCACTGATATACCAGAAATGTTAAATATTATATGGTTAGACTACTGGATTGAGGCACATTTTAAAAAGAGACGTGTTGATCCTGTCACTGTTTAAAGTAAATGACTGCAATAAATCACAAATGATGAAATAAACAGGGTTCCCGCAGATCCTTAAATAGTCTTAAGAGGCGTTAAATTCATCAGTCCAAAAATAAGGCCTTCATTAGCCTTAAAATGTCTCAAATCAATCTTTCAGAGGTCTTAAAATGTATAGACACATAGGGAGATTGTCTCAAATATTAAAATAATTTGTGACATTAATTTATTTTCTGAAATAATTTAATGATTGCCTCCCGCAGCTAGTTGATTTATGCTAAAATAAACATTTGGCTAAAACAGTCACTGACTAACTATTTTTTACATTTGTGTTTATTGTGAAGTTGGTCTTAAATATAATTTCAAGTGGTGTTAAAGCGGTCTTAAAAAGTTTTGAATTTAACTAGCCTTAAGCTGTACAGTATGAAATTCAGTTAATCAGTCAAAACATATCCTGAAACACATCTATATTTGACATTAGTTCTAAATGAGAAATATTTATCTTTCAAATGAATAAATAGCATTAAATGAAAAATCCTTCAAATGAAATAAATAGAAAATAATCTAACTTAGAATGACAATTACAACCCGAGAGACAAAAAAGCTATTTTTAACAAGTACACACAGTTGTACATATTACTAATAAAATATGCATGAAATAAGAAAGACAGGGATCTGTGTTTACAAATTAATTAAATATGTAGTCTGGAGTTGTTTACCCTTCTGTATAACTTACTGCAGATAAATGACTCTTAAAAAATAGAATCTTTKCTTATTGTTGTTTCTCCTCTGCTGTCTGCTTTCTGCTCACTCTCTCTGCTGGATAATATTTCGACTGTTTCTGTAAAATTCACCATGTTTGCCTCGTTTCATCAGTAACACTGAGCTAAACGAGGAGACTGGCTAAATTAGAGCAAATATCTCTAACAGCTCCRGTATGGTCCAGATAAACATGTGGGACAGCAACCAAGGTCAGCACTTTTTACCCAAAGACAGTACTGCTGAGAAGACAATCAGCACTTGTCATTGTTGTTGTTTTTTTAACTCAAAGACCATAATGTGACTTCCACTAATCCATAAAGTCATTAGGAAGAAGCTTTTAACAGGTTCCAAGGACCCTTGCTTACTTTTTAAATAAAATATAAACAAGGGAAAAATATCAAACCCATTAATCTTTCATTAAGCTCGCCGGATAAAAAAGAATCGCTTAAAGTATCATTCGCTACCATCACTGCGAGTGCAAAAGCCCCCCGCTAACATCAAAGGCTTCTCAAAGAAACGGAGCGGGAGAGAGTCAGTTAGCTGGGCTTGGCTGAGAACCAGCTCCTGCTCGGGTTTTAATGTGAACTCACTCATAATGGCTGCAAAGAGAGAAACGGGGACTCGCTCTTTAATGGGTTTTGTGGCGCTGAGGCCTTTTTCTTTCCTTTTCTTTTCTTCCCTCTTTGCGCAAACACTGGCATAACAATGCACCGAAGAGCAGCTTCAGACTGGATGTTGACAAAGGTGGAGGGCTCATCTTCAGCAGGGAGGGTGCCTTTGTGTGTGTGTGTGTGTGTGTGTGTGTGTGTGTGTGTGTGTGTGTG